GACTGATTCCGTCCATTCTTTGCATGTGCCTAGTACCTTATGTGGGACATATGCACATGCAGTGGTTTAGCGATTTGATTCAAAATGGACGACTGGCAGCCATCTTGTTTTTTGAAAATGTTGTATTTTAGACATGCTTTGTCAGTTGTCATTCAAACTTGGTACATAGATTATACATGTTAGGATACATGTCCATCTTGTTTTTGTTTTTTTATGCGGTATCTTGGACGTGCTCTGTCAGTTTTCATTCAAATTTGGCACATACATGTACTTTATACATGTTAGGATGCATGTCCATGAGAATTTGTTTCAAAATTTGGTCAAGGATGGCCGATTGACAGCCATCTGACTTTTTGGCCTTACTACTATATTTCCACAATTTATGTACCATTTTCATTCAAATTTGGCACATACATCATACATATCAGTGTGTTTCATAATCAGATCAAAGATGGCCGAATAACGGCTGTTTTTATTTTGACCATATTACTATGACACGAAACACATGTTTTGATGTAAATAGACAATCTGTTGTATATGCCACTTGGAACTCAAGTTTCAAGGACACACTCACGACAACCCCTCCGCTTTAATATGACGAGCACAAAGAGAACTTAACGGGGACTGTGTCATTTTCAATGACTTGTTTTATATGATTCAACTTTGATGTCAGAAACAGAATTTTTACATGAAGGTTATTTTTCTATTGTCACAGTTTGTGTGTACTGGTGGCAGTTCTGCTAGAATGGAAGTTTTTGCTAAGTTTATGTTAGAAGAACTTCATATGCACTTGCCAGCTGGTATGGCATTATGTAACATCTGCTCCACAGACAGATACGCTATGTATAAAGTAGGACCTGTTCTTGTGGTTAGCGTAAGTATACATCTATAAATAGAAACTCGGTATTGTTACAATGTATATAGTTCAGTATTTTTGAATATTGGCCAAATCTGGATTAATTAAATTCTTAATAACTATAACACAATTTAATACCTACACTTGTATATTACTTTCCCTTTTGACTGTTTTGAAGATATGGAAGAAAAATATTTTGAGCAAACTGCTTTTCAAATTATTAGCCTAATATTTAAAATGGCCGCCAGGCTGAGCCCTAATTTTGTCACCATGGAAACAAATCTTGGTACCCACTCATTTGCTTATTGTAACCGATACCTCATTCTGTAAATTACTGTAAATTATAGTGTATTGTCACTCTTTGAACTAGCGATGGCAAAGTTCGCAAAGGTCACTTTGATTCTATACTATGTGTTTTTTAGTTTTTGTTGGACTGATCCAAAACGGGGACTTGTGTTTTGAATTCAGTGCATATGTTTGTCCATTCAACATTTTCTTCGGGCATGCTTTGACTAATTTCATTAACATTGATACAATGTACAAAGGAAAGTCATAATAGGAAACATATGCACATCAATTCGTAGTTTGTTACTATTATTTTTGAGGGACTGACTGATTTTGTCCTAAAACTGAACATTTGGACATTAATCAACCATATCTCAAGCATGACTGGTCCAATTTTATTCAAACATACATGATGTTTTGTTTTGTGATTTAATCCAAATGTCAAACTAGTTTATGTGTGGATTATGCAATTTTGTTTGCACAATATGAGGATAATCTTATTTCTAGGAAGCAGCAATTTTGAAAACTGGGACATGTTAAATTGCCATCTGAAATAACATGTTAACATGCTGAATACGCTCCCAATAATTCTATTCAACACAGTCACTAAAAACCAGACAGGGACTATGTCATCAACAATTTCTACACAACTAACCTATCCATACATTGTACCTGTGTTCACAGCATGGTATGGGTATGCCGTCCATATCTATAATGTTACACGAGGTCATCAAATTATTAGAATACGCTCAGTGCAAAGATTTAACATTTTTCCGCATTGGAACATGTGGTGGACTAGGATTGAAACCTGGTTCTGTGGTTGTCACAGAAACTGCTGTGGACTACAAATTTGAGCCGGTTTTTGAGCTGGTAAGTGCCTAAGAAATTATTCAGTCATAGTTAACATGTAGTTACATTGATGACACATTCTGTACTTTGAATTAAAACAATTGATTTATTAGAAGCATGAGCCAAGTTGTCATGGCAATGACATATTTCAAGTATCTGATTCAGGCATGCATGAAGATTTAACTGCGAGACTAATGGATAATTTACATTTCTTGAACTCTCACATGTCTAAATACAGTGAATTTCACTAAAAAATAATTTTTGGTATAACATGTTAATAAATGTTATATAAATTTTGTATAATGCTTAAAATTATTTTTACGAACTACAACGTGGTAACAAGATTGTAAATCAATCAATCAATAATAAAAAGAAACACACAAAGACTCATGGGTAATGGGCATTACCAAATGGTTCTATACAGCCAGTGAAAACATATTTTTTGAATTTCAATGAAGCATGGAAAATTCACTGTATTAATCTATGTTTGGATACTTTATTGTTTAAATTTAATTTATATGTTCATTTGGACTTGAAACTATAGTAACTTAGGCATTTTTTTTCCAATCTTTTATCAAATTTATACCAATTATAGTATAAATATAATAAAATGGTTCTACAATTGATTCATTTCTTTATCTTATAGCAAGCACTTGGGAAGATAATCTCCACACCTACAAACCTCAACAAGGACTTAGCACAAGATCTGTTATCATGCAGTGACCAATCAGATGAATTTGATATTGTTGTGGGTAACACTATGTGTACTAATGACTTCTATGAGGGTACGTGATTTAGTTTTTCATCATCGCAACTGCATTTGTGTGAGACGCTCAAAATCATGGCCTCTGAAATTTCCCTCTTATGAATAACCTAAAAGTTGAAATTTTGCTTACCTAAAATTTTGCTTAATAAAAACAAAAGAACAGAATGTATGTGCCGTTCTGATGACAATGTCCCCATATACTCGATAGCATTGTTGTGTCTGCGTGTTTGATACAGTAGAGTATGGTTTGCAGATCTGAAGTAGCAAATGTAAATTGTAGAGGGCGCACTTTCATATCAAGTTACAACATTTTTCCAATTTGTATTTATTTTATAATTTTTTTTGTCAATTCTTGACCAAATTGATAACATTTCTCATTCGCTAAAGTTCTTTATCAAAAATTCAGTTTATTTTGTGAAAAATGGCAAAAACTGTCTATGGCATTTAAAAGGTTGAATACTACCGTAAAATCTGTATTAGAAGCCACACCCATTCTTTTTAAACAATTGAGAACTAAAAATTCATCATTTCTCTGTTAGAAGCCGCATCTCCTTTGTTGCTTTGTACCATTTTAATAGTAGCCGCGGCTTCAAATACAGATTTTACAGTATTATAAAGGGTTGATCTGATAAGATTTGTCTGGCTGATCACCATGAACTCATTTTCAAATTTGTTTATCATTACACCAAAGTCAACGAGGACAACTATGAACCTTCGTATTTATAAACTCAAATGTTGTACGAGTCTGTGCAGTGAAATCAGTTGTTCTAATGTGTTCTAATTTATTCATGTGGGATTTTTTTGGAACGGAAGTACCATCATTTCAATGTGTTTAAGTAGATTACAACTTCAGCCTAGTTGCTAAACTTTCATCTTGAAACTTAAATATAAATAATTTAATCTTTTTTATTTTTTTCTTCAACCACAAATGTTTGATACAAATGAATTTCAAAACAAGTTTGTCTTATTAGGTCAGGGCCGCTTAGACGGAGCTTTTTGTGATTACACCGAACAGGACAAAATGAACTACTTACATGAGTTGTATAATGTTGGTATACGTAACATTGAGATGGAGTCGCTGTGTTTTGCCTCAATGATGAACAGAGCTGGTATCAAAGGTATGATTCAATTTGCATTGCAAGGTTGTTGATAAGGGTTTGATGTATAGGTTACAGTTGCTATTTTATAGGCTAGGGTTAGGGTTAGGCTTTAGTGGGTAGATTTGAAAACATGATGAACCCCCACCCCATTTGTAATACAAAAATTTTAAATACCATATTTCATGGATGAACAGTTTTGATGCATCCAAAACTGTCTTCCTCTTCTCCTCAGAATTTGAAATACCGGTAGTCTACCCAAGTGTCTTTCCTCTTCTCCTCACTTCTTAGGAGAATTTCAAATAGTCCATACGACTGTCTTTCCACTTTCACGAAAATTCAAATGTACCACCCAAAATTGTCTTTCCAATCTCCTCTGAATTGAAATGGCCCATTCAAAAGTATTTTTCCCCTCTCTCCAGAAATTACAATGGTTCACCCCAAAGTGCTTTTCCTTCTCCCAAAAAGGTCCATCCAGCCGTGTCGTCCCCTTCACTTCATACAATTGTAAATGGTTTACCCAAAAATGCTTTTTATTTGTATTGCCATGCATCCTTTCTTTCAAATCTTAAACTCATTAAAATGTTCCTGCTTTTCTTGATTTGATGAATTGATTCATTCACAAGAACAAAATTCTGACTTTCAGACCCACTGAAATTTTGATCACTCAAAAATGTCGCAATCTTCACAGACTACTATAAAGTTCAAGTGATTTACAGTAAATCCACTTTATTTTTCTTGTGTTCCATTACAAAGGAAGTAAGTATGAGATGAAGGGTGATTACATCAAATGCTCACATGTTTGTTTATTATATAAACACTAAATATGTGCGTTTTTGTTATCTACAGCCGGTGTTGTGTGCGTGACTATACTCGACAGACTCAAGGGTGACCAAGTGGTCACACCCAAAGAAGAATTGCGTCGATGGGAGGAAAGACCGCAGACTGTTGTTGCACGATACATCAAGGGAACGTTTGAGAAGAAATTAAAGTAAAATGAAGGGCAGTGCAACAATCTTGTATTTTAAGCGTAAACGTCTCCGCTTTTTAATTGGTTGTCATGCTTCATTCCAGTGCAACATATGCAATGCAGATAAATTAACTTTTGTTTTGAACTATTTTGAATTCTTGTCCTTCAGCTTGCCTTTTGAAAAGATGCAAAATATTGTGAGCACTGAGGGCGCTATAACAAAAAAAAACATTTTCATATCTCACGGTTGTGTCTATGCCCAAAACAAGTCATATATTAATAATCCAGTATCAAAACAATGTATTTGTATTGGCGATGTAATGAAGCAAATGTTAACAGTAGCAATTGCAAAATAACACAAAATGATTTGAAATCAATAACCAAGAAATATAATTTTAAATAGGTGAGTAGTTGGCATGACAACCTGTAGATTGTTTAGTTCAGTGGGGTATGTTACTCTGTTTATGGTAATTTCATAGCAATAAATCACAAAATATTTATTTTAATATCTTTGCAAATTATAAGTATGTTTGGAATCAAAATTGTGTTTGTTTTGAGTACATGCATTTTTAAACTTATAGAGAAGATATGAATATTAATTTTTAAGAGTACAGTGTATTTCTTGCTTTGAAGTAAATATACAAGTTTAATTTGAACTTGATATCAGTGGTTTCAATCTCATATTATAATATGAAGCTAATTTAAAAAAAATGTCATGTTCTAAATTCAGACTTTTAAAGCATTATTATCTGTTAAACTTATTTGAAGTCTTGTACATATGCAATATTAGTATACGTATATAACCTATGGTACTGAGGTCACTGTTAAAGTACTCTGTTGATCTTTGACCTCTCAACCTGATCAATAAAAACATGAAGCAAAAAATCACGGAGCATATATGCCAAAGCGTATCATATACGAGAACCTAAATTCCGGTATTTTGTTAATAACTTTATTGTACATTATTTTTTAAAGATGCTGGAATAAAAAGGTCGGCTAAAATATCGCTATCACTTTTAGAACTAGTTTGCCAGCAGGTGTGTCAGTCACCTACTCAACATTTGCATAATCGAACACACTACACGTGTACACTCCACAATTCTTGTTGTGGCTTGTTTCTTACTTGATTGGACCATAAAGAAAGGTCGTAACCGATCTCTTATGCATTCATAAAATGAAAACATGGCAGTTACGGTGTTTGCAAGTTTTGCATGTTTAGAACTGATTTGATACTTTGGACTTGATAAATAGGTTTTCATCTTGGTTCTTATCAAATTTTAAATAAGGTAGGCGGCATTAGACAGATATCAGTTTTGTGCGATATTCAAGGGATTTGTTGATGCCCAAAGCTGCTGAAAATTTTATCACAGTGGAATCTATTTAAATGCTTGACAATGTTTGGCTGTTTGCTGATAACTTCTGACATGGATATCTTGTGAATAGTGTAATAGTTGCATTTGGTACAGAGCATATACTACCTCGTACGCCAAATGTAACAAAATATATCTGATAATAGAGCTTTAATTTAACCTACTCATAATGTTTGAGAAGAGTGTCATAAATTACAGGAAAATGTTTGTTGGTTTATTATGTAGTCATGGAGTATAGTGCTATTGTAACACAGTACTTTTGTTGAGAAAATTGCTGTTTTAGAACAATTTCATAGAACCATAGTTACTAGAAAACACAACCATGATAGAACTCAAAGTTGAAGCAAACTAATTTTTTTTTTTCACTTAAAGCCAGATTATTAATATAATTAAGGATAACAAAAGATCCCTATCAGTAACAATATATATTTCAGATATGGCATAATATTATAGAAACCAATGAACCAACATGTACTGATACTGACAAAATGGCCGCCATTCGCTATTAAAATACAATCACAATTTTCTTAAAAAATAGGCTATTTTTAAAACCAACATTATTATATGTCGACGGGTACAATTTATTGTAGGATGAATACCAGTATTTTTCTTCTTCTGTAAACTTTTAATTTAAGATAACATTAATCCGTGTGTCATTGCAAGGTTTTGTGTTAACTGCCATCAAGTTGTTAACTGAAATAGGGAACAAGTTGCAAGTTGTTGACTGTGGTCTGTCACTTTGCAAAATTGCATAATAAATTGTATTTTTAACAAAAGTTGGAGCTTGTTGAGTCATGTATATTATGCAACTACAAGTATATTGTGTAACTGATTATTGCATGCTTGTTTTTTGCACATCTGTGTTGCATTTAATGTATACAAGAAAACTGTGCTGCTTGCTATGTCAAGGAAAATTACAAATGCAGCATTAATGAATGAGTTAATAAGTGATTTTCTGTTCACTCTGAGTTCTTGTATATTGCATAAAAGGCGTGTAAAAATGCAATGATTTGATTTTAAACTTTTGTGTTTGTCAAATCCCACATGATGTTTGACGCCACTACAACCTTTTTTTTTCGTCCTGTTTTTATGTTTGATTCATACATAACTCAGGATCTCGCAGTGAACGGGAACTGGTCTATTATATCAATGATTGTAAATATCTTTGTTTGTAAAATTTTATTGTATTTACCTCTGAAATTTACTTTTAAGTTTATTTAATGTAAGAATAATTATTTTATAATGATTTGGTACGTACTGTGTTAATTATTAACAGGGTTTTATTCTTGGTTAGAAATGAAACATGCTAGATTTAATGAACAAGTAAACCTACATTGTTTTAAAAGTAAGTTTGTGAGTTTTAAAACCAATTGAAAAATTTATTTTTGCTTTTACAGTATTGAATTATCAACTAAAATTAATTAATTATTTTAAGGAATATGCATAACCTTCTGTGAATTTTAACTTGATTCAGCACAGTCGGAACTCCTATAATCCGTTTTGACTTACTTCTACATGAATTAGTATGCTGAATGGTTATAATAAGTTTAATTCTTTCTGCGTCTGTAACCTCATAATTTACAGATTTAGTTTCCAAAAGTCTAAGCATAACTATATACTTACTAGTAATCGGCTAATTTGGACCTAAGGCCCTCTATGGCCAGACAGTAATAAATGAGGTCTGCCATAGAGGGCGCTATGTATTTGAAACAGTCAGAAGTCAGAATTTGTTATATGCATTTACTTGATTGGATGTTGCAGCACCATGGAGATTGATAGTAAATGTGGAAAACTGATCATTATGACAAGAAAAAAAATAATGCAGGTTT